GTATTCATATGCTTGTAGTAAAAAAACGGTTATTTCAATATTACAAACAACAGGCTTCAACATTCTCATGTACCACAAAAAAGATGTTTTTTCTATCAAATAAACCGTTTTTATTAAAAACAAGGTGTTCCCGCGACTTCGTCCGCGTGGAATTTAACTTTATTTTTCTAAAATAAAAGTAGCCTAAGTTACTCCTTATAAATCAGCTACCTGCCAAAAAAAGTACCGTCAAAATCGGTCCAGCCATTTCAGAGATTAGCCGGAACAAACAGACCGACAGACAGACAGACAAAAATTATAAAAATTGTTATTTTGGTATATATCTTATATATATTCATATGCATGTAGTAAAAAACGGTTATTTCAATATTACAAACAGACACTCCAATTTTTATTAAATGTATAGATGTATAGATTATTGTTTATTTATTTATTTATTTATTTATTCATCCAAAATAATACAAATTGTGTAAGATAACGTAATAGTAACATTACAGTAAAATTTTGTCAACAACATAATAGCAACTTAAATATTAAATCTCGGTATATCTATAGACTTTGGCCCCAGCGACTTCGTCCGCGTGAAATTTTATTTTATTTTTCTAAAATAACAGTAGCGTAAGTTACTCCTTATTACATCAGCTACTTGCCAAAAAAAGTCCCGTCAAAATCGGTCCAGCTATTTCAGAGATTAGCCGGAACAAACAGACAGACAGACAGACAAAACTTGTAAAATATGTTATTTTGGTGTATACCGTATTTATATTCATATGCAAGTAGTAAAAACGGTTATTTCAATATTGCAAACAGACACTCCAATTTTATTTACATGTATAGATGTATAGATTAAAAAAAAAGTAACAGTCATAAGGCTAGTCGTATGCCTAATATATATAATAATGTAATAAATTCATTTAAACAGAAATTGAGGGAACATTATTTAAATTTGTAACTTTTTTACTGTCCTTCTCCTTTTTTCACATCTTTCTGTTATATGCCTATAGTTCTCTCTATATTTTCTGTTTTTCTTACTTTCAATTTGAGACTGTACTTATAATTTGATTATCGGATCATTATGTATTTATTTATACATTTTTGGGTTATATTTACATATATATTTATGTATGTATATTGTTATAGAAATGTATATTTTGCTTATCTTTATTATCTTTATAAATATTTTTTTGACATTTTTATTTATATTAGTGCACCGCCAATAATCTTTCTCTGCACCACTCATGGTTGCCTGGTAAATAACGCGGCAAAATATTAAGTCCGCCACATGTACAAATTTTTTGTGCATTAAAGTTAAAGAAATAAAAAAAATACAATACTGTTTAATGAAAATGCGATTGTCTAGTGCTTTGAGATGTCTTACGGATAACCAACAATAACCATTTTTTATCTTTTACATTTTACGGGAATTTTTTTTATCGTATGTTTCCCTTAAAATCATGTAAACTATGTTATTATGTCATAATCTAAAGAAATAATAATATTTTATAGTGAAATATCCACTATAAAATACCAAAAAGTAGCAATGTAATTCGTTACGCGCGAATCAGGTGTTATAAGGTCAAAGGTCCCCCCGCGTATTTGATAAATAGTACTTCTCTGGATGTCTTTAAGAGAAAATGGCAGTATGTACGTGTATATGTCACACACAAGTCCTTAAGTGTTAAGTTTTTCAAATGTACAATAAAGAATAAATATTTTTAAGTACAGTACTTACGTACATTAATATAATACCTACTTTTTACTTGTATCTATTGTTATCAAAATTAAATTATAAGTTCTTAACTTGACCACGACTATGTGACCCTCTCTTGGCGCCAAAACGAGTGAAAAAATGAACAGCATACGACGACGACGCAGTACCTATAGAGTGGAGCAACTGCTTATTCAGTTTTATTCAACTATTTAGTCCCTCCTCCGTTACAATGAATGCAGGCGGATATTACAATGTACGTAGCATTGCAAATATAAAATATCTAGATTAGGTATAATAAATTCATAATTCATAGGCCGTTACGGTATCAGAGCCAAAGTCTTCTTTCTTTGTTTATGTACTGTTAGATGCGACAGCGACTTTGTTTTTATATTACTATGTAATGATTGATATACCTAAAATAAATAAAATATCTGAGGTTTGGACAAAAATTCATAAGGTACTTTATTTTGAAAAAGTATTTTGAAAATACCTATTTTGCATTTAGTATTTGAAATACAAAACACAAAACTATTTTTGTTTTTAGAGTGAGATTTCTATGAATTCACTGTCGATAGCGAGCGGTGCGATGGAAAAAGATAACCGTTTATAAAAATATAATAAATAGCCCTGGACAATTAAGACAGACTGATACTGAACTGATATAAATAGAGATTTTTATTTTGTAAATACATATATAATATACATATAAAACACCCAGACCGATGAAAACAATCGATGACCGATGAGTACAAATGTTTGCACCGTGCGAGAAATCGAACCCGCGACCATCGGATGTAAAGCGGTGTGACCACCGAGGCAGTCGAAATATATAAATAATCTTATGAATTTAATTTATTCTAATTTGTTTGTGTGCGCGGGGTGCGGTGTACGGTGCTCCCCCCTGCCTCCACCGTTGCTGGAGCTTGCATGTATGGAGCATTGCGAATATAAAATATCTAGATTAATAAATTCATAATTGATAGACCGTTACGGTATCTATATATATTCGGATTAAAATAAGTATCGCAGTAAGGACCAGTATATAAAGTGATCAACACAATTAACTGATTTTTGAAATATATATACAGAGCCAAAAAGTCTTTGTGTATTCAAAAAATATCTAATTTGTTTGTGTGCGCGGGTGCGGTGTACGGTGCAGGGGGGACCCTGCCTCCACCGTTGCTGGAGCTTGCATGTATGGAGCATTGCGAATATAAAATATCTACATTAGTAAATTAATAAATTCATAATTGATAGACCGTTACGGTATCTATATATATTCGGATGAAAATAAGTATCGCAGTAAGGACGAGTATATAAAGTGATCAACATAATTAATTGATTTTTGGAATATATTCAGAGCCAAAAAGTCTTTGTGTATACCAAAAATTTAGCCGTTCGGAGCCATTCAGTCACGAATTATTAGTAAAAAAAGTGTCGAGTATATCGTACTATCGACGAATATATATGGCCACATCGCAAAGTAGAATGCGACGTTGCCATACCGCCTGAGATATACGCGATAGGAGTCAAGTTATTCAGTGCAAAAGGTGGAATCAGCAAGTGTTTAGGTTGTGGCGTGATCAACAAAGTGCCCAAAGAGGTGTTTATATATATATATATATATATATAAAACAAATACCTAAGTATTTATATCAGTCGTCTAGTAGCCATAACACAAGTTCTACTTATCTTGGGAGTAGATGGCGCTGTGTGAATTGTCCTGGATTATCTTATATATAAAATTCTCGTGTCACAGTTTTCGTTCCCATACTCCTCCTTAACTGTTTGACCGATTCTCATGAAATTTTGTGAGCGTATTGAGTAGGTCTGAGAATCGGCCAACATATATTTTTCATCCCCCTGCATTTTAGGGGTAGTCCACCCCTAAAGTTTTCTTTTATTATTGTACAAAATTTTGAGTTTCTATTTTTTTATGATACAACATACATACAATCCTAAATGTTCACCCTTCTATCATCAACCCCTATTTTTTTATAGCGTTATTAATTTATATGGCAAAACAACGTTTGTCGGGACAGCTAGTTTTATTATATATATATGTATCATATATATATATATATATATATAGATTTATTCTCATATCCAATGAGTAATGACACTATGTAATTTTTGCATTGATCTAATGTTGTTTTATGCCAGAAATATTATCGAATATATCTCATAACAAAATATATGTAACATCTCTAACAACATGTCCCAATTATTCCTCGAACTCATGAAACAGCTACAAATGTCATTAACCTATTATCCTACATACTAGTTACAAGAAAAAATAAGATTATACTTATTATTATAATCAAACAATAATACTTAGAAAAAGTCAATAGGTCTTTTATGGGAATAGGTATAAAAATTTATAACAAGATACGAAAGGATATATTGGAATTAGCTTTAAATAAATTCAAAATATCTGTTAAATCATATTTACTGAGCAAAGCTTATTACTCACTAAACGATTACTTGAATGACGAGCGTGCTTGGCAATAGTTGTTTATGAACGGGATTTTCATTTAATGTTAGACATAGACACCTAGATAAATATATATTGTAAATAAACTAGCATTAGAAAAAAGAAATTCAATTGAGTTTCTAGCCAGTTCTTCTCAATTGGATCTATATACTGAATTGGACGGTAGGGAAAAAATTAAAATTATAATGTAAAACATTGGACGTTCATAATCTGCTAAAATATCCTACATGAATAAATGATTTTTGAATTCGAATCTGAATTTGGATAATAACTATAGATAATTCACAAAACGCCATATAGTTCCAAGTTCTGATGGTCGCGGGTTCGATTTTCTCGAACAGTATAAACATTTGTATTCATGAGCATGATTATTTGTATCGAACTGGGTATTTTCTGTGTGTATTATGTATGTGTTTACAAAAAAATACGTCTATGTATTTATATTAGTTGTCTAATACCCATAACAGAATCTCTGCTTGGGACTAGACGGTGCAGTGTAAATTTTATTATCCTGAAATATTATATTGTTACATATAATTGATAAAACTTCATAGATTTTTTTTGCAAATAAAAAAAAAAATACGCTTATATTTTTATCAGTCGCTAGTACCCACAACACAAGCTCCGTTTATCTTGGGACTAGATGGCGCTGTGTTAATTGTCCAGGGTTATTTATTACTTATCAGTCGAGGAAAATAATTCTGACAACTATCTTCTCCATATATTGTGACGTAGATTACTCCAATGGAGTACCAAGCTGTAAGCAAATAGAACTAGATATACAGAAAATCTTACCATAATGACAAGGTATGATGTCAGGGTCTGACTCCTCGACCTCACCCTCTACATTCAGCTCATACTGGCTGCAGTAGTCCAGCTTCGGCGAGCCGCAATACGTGTTCAGATTGTCATGTTTAGACAATGACTCCACACTCTGTTCTTTATATAATGCATTCCTAAAACAAATAGATTATCATTAAATTCACAATTTCATAAATAGAATATGAATATAATTTCTAGGCAGTATGATGATGAAAGAAAAAGTGAGAGAAAGTCACTAACGCTGGTGTGGCCATTTCCCGACGCGAAGACTTATTTTAATACAAAACACACACAAACACTACGCACACACACATCACACACACGCAGATAAATGATAAACATAATCATAATAAAAAACTTAACTTAAGATATTTGTTATATAACTTTTGTATATTATTTTACATACCGTATTTGCCTATAAGTAATATATATAAAATTGTGCCTTTAGATCATAACCCATTATATCTACTTAAATAAATTGTGTGAATGTAATAACTGTTGGTGATCCTAAATAAAATAAAAAAGACGACTACGTGGTTAAGAAAGTACTCAACACACCAAACTCGACCGGAAGTAGAGGCAGGCCACCCGCCACTTGGTGGAAGAATATTAAGAAGCAGACGTTCATCTGCTTCTTAATATTCTTCCACCAAGTGGCGGGAAGAAGAAGAAGAGGAAGAAGAAGCAGATGAACACGTCTGCTTCTTAATACCTTACTACTCAGACAACCCAGAACAGACTTCGCTGGCGCAAATATACAGGTAGACCCGACCCCTAATAAATTGGGAATATGGGTTGGTCAAAGAAGATGACGAGGAAAGAAAATATGGGGTTAATTGCTACCGATTAATGTATAAATAAAATAGATTCTTAACAAATCTATACTAATATTATAAAGCTGAAGAGCATGTTTGTATGTTTAAACGCGCTAATATCAGGAACTACTGTTTCGAATTGAAAAAATATTTTCATATTAAAATTATTGTCCATTTATCGAGGAAGGCTTTAAGCTATATAATATTACGCCACAACCAATAGAAGCGAAGCATCAGTGAAAAATGTTACAAGAACGGGTAAAATAAGGATAATCGCGATAGTATTTTTGATAACCACGCGAACGAAGTCGCGGGCACAGCTAGTGATATATGTATACATTGAAAGAAAAATTACGTAAATTTATAGAAGAAGATTAGAAGAACTTTTAGAATGGTTGATGTCGTGAGAATATTTTATAGATGTACTATGGAACGTGTCTATCTCGTCTGTAAGCGGTCAGTTGTCATGAAAAGAGGTAATGATGTGAAATTATTATTATACAATTATATAAAATACGTCATAAAAATAAAAGACCAGAAAGAAAATTGGCAAGAAAAAAGATATTTTATGGATTACTATAGTTACATAACTCTTTTTGAAACAGTCCATGCAATTGGGATTTGGTTTAATCAATTGTTTTGATGTTGAAATAACAACAAACATACGCATCAACAAATTATTAATATAAATTGGTTTAATTTTGAACGGTTCCGCCCTTTTAAGGTATTATCAAAGGTTTGTTTACATTCTCTGTTTATATCCGCGCAATCAATTGGAGAATTAAACGCAATTTTGAGCTGGCAACTCCAAATACGACTACGGTACGGTAAAACCATCTACATATGACTCTAAAATCAGTAACAATATCGGACTTTTGGGGAGTGACTGGCAACTCTTCCTAGGTTGTTTTGTGTGTAGGTAACATGACACACATCATCATGGGAGCGGATGACCTGTGTTACATCATCTACATGGCTACGAGAATACGAGATGGCTGAAGGTTGGAGTCTTAGGCTGAACCACTTTGTTCCAGCATCTGTTCCGGAACTCCTGGGTAACTGGGTTGTAAAACCTCATCTAGCAAGTTACTATACTAACTTAAGTTAAGAGTTACAATGTATATAATAAAAAGAAAAATAAGGGTATAAGCTTGGCCTAACTTAAGAACTATTGCCATTCTTGGGGGTAACAATATCTACGCTGGCTTCATATTAAACGGCAGATAGGGTAAAGTAGGTTCTGAGCTCATACTATATGATATATAACTCTGATGTCGCTATACATGAATGATCTAGGCGAGCCAGGGCACTCCCTACCACCGCACCAATATTTACTACAGTGTCCTACATCTTCACTACAATGCCCTAGATCTTCAAGGTTCTCTATTCCATTATCAAACATAGAAAAAATTACCCCTAATTTTATTGTCGTGTACAGTCTTATTTGTAAAAAGGCAACATCACAACATTTTATGATACGCTTTTTGTATATTAATTTGTACAGATATAGCATGGTGTTCAACCTTGCTTTTGTGAAAAGCTCTCCCTACCACCGCACCAATATTCAATATCACAACATATTCATAGTGCTCCATTCCATTATCAAATAAAAAAGTCTCTGATTTTAGTATCGTGTGTAGACAGTCTAATTTGTGGAAAGGCAACAACACAACATTTTATGATACGCTTTTTGTATATTAATTTGTACAGATATAGCATGGTGTTCAACCTTGCTTTGCGTGGTGAATTTTCAACCTCGCGAACCAGGGCTCTCCCTACCACCGCACCAATATTCAATATTTGGTGCAGAGTTACGGAGTACCTTACATATTCATAGTGCTCCATTCCATTATCAAATAAAAAAGTCCCTGATTTTAGTGTCGTGTGAAGACCATCTAATTTGTGGAAAGGCAATAACACAACATTTTATGATACGCTTTTTGTATATTATTTTTGTACAGTTACAACAAGGTGTTTATACGTGCTTTGCGTGATGAATTTTCAACTACGCAAACCAGGGCTCTCCCTACCACCGCACCAATATTCAATATTCACTGCAGAGTTAAGGAGTGCCCTGAATCTTCAAGGTATTCTATTTCATTATTATTTTTTTAAATTGCCCCTGATTTTAGTGTCTTGTGTAGACAGTCTTGTTTGTGGAAAGGCAACAATACAACATTTTATGATACGCTTTTTGTATATTAATTTTAACAGATACAGCGTGGGGTTCATACTTACTTTTCGTGATAAATTTTCAACCACTTACAAAGAGAAATAATTACGAAATTTGACTGAAATTTTTGTTATTTTTTTTATGAATTCCTGTGTATGTACACATGCATGCTTATTATATGTGTCTGTATGTATAAATTGTATATGCTGTAAATGTGTTTATGTATATATATATCAGAATCTCAAAGTTTATTTATGTACAGCAAAATTTCATTTGGTTATATTATTGTTTAGATGTCTAGTAATGTTCATTTTTTTATTATTTTGTACGTACGCAACTGAAAACAGCGCTGTACGCCCATCAGTCCAGCAATATGTAAGTTTGTAACTATTGGCAATCATTGTAAATATTCTGTATAATTGTGTAACTGTGTACTATTATATTTGGCAATAAATGGATTTATTATTACACTAGCTGTACCCGCGATATCATCCGCGTGAAATGACTTTATTTTTCTAAAATAAAAGTAGCCTAAGTTACTCCTTATTACATTAGCTACCTGCCAATAAATGCTTGTGTTATAGGTACTTAATAACTGATACAAATCCATACATATAATATCTTTACGTATATACATACATATTATACATAGAAAACACCCAGACCGACGCAAATATTTGGAGGAATCGAACCCGCGACCATCGGAACTAACGCGGTGTGCTAAACCACTAGACCACCGACACCGTCGTCTTTGGCTTTAACAAAGTTATGTTCAGTCGGGCGCAGACAGGGCGACGCACTAGTAACATAAGAGTATATACTCATACGTCAATACCAAAATATGTTTTATGAGAGAAGTTGCGAACAGAATGAAATTACACGTGGTACGGTACAGAGATAGCGTGATTTGTTTACCAACAAATTACTCCGAAATATTCAATTTAAAGTATTAATTTTGTACCCAACTTCGGGCATTGTTGTCGCCTAATATTATTGGTTAAGGTAGAACGTATTATAATTATTTGAACCCAAAGATCTTCCACGTGTTGTATCAATGAATTTATATTTAGTTACTAGCTGTTCCCGTTACTTCGCCGCGTGGAGTTTTATTTTGTTTTTCTAAAATAAAAGTAGCCTAAGTTACTCCTTATTATATCAGCTGCCTGACAAAAAAAGTCCCGTCAAAACAATTTGAGAAGAGTAACAAACATCCATACTAAAATTTAAAATGTTATTTTGGTGAATTATATAATATTATTAAGATTAAGATGCAATATTACAAACGAAAATTAAATTTATATATTAAAAGACTATAAATATAATAAATAAATAACCCGCGATAATTAACACACCGCGTGGAACTTAACAGCTTGTGTTCTAAAAGAAACTGATTTTTTTCGAAATATTAAAGTAAACAAGTATACGGCCCATCTATTATATCAGTTTACCGTAGCCTATGACTGAAACAAAAAAGACCCTTAAGTCAATATACGGTCTAAAAACCCCATGCAGTTTAAGAAGATCGGCAGGAAGTTCATTCCACAATCTAAGTGTACGCGGGATATAAATACCTACTTAGTTATTTTTTATATAAATAAATTCAATTCAAATTAAGAATATCGTTATTCATGTAGGTACGTACCTATATGCATGTCCGGAATGATATAGATGACAAGAACTGACAGGAAATTATTTCAATATTCAAACAAACGTTGTATATGTTCACAATAATACAGATTTTATTTTTATATATATAGATTTAATATAACTATAAATATAATAAACCGTTACAAACAAACATACTCATGAATACAAATGTTTGGGTGCGAGGAATCGAACCTGCGACCATCGGAAGTAAAGCGGTATGGCAACCGCTAGATCACCGAGGAGTTATTTGTTAATTAATTTTACCAGAAGTAAATTATCTTACTAGTATTATGATGATATGGATGTATAGATGTATGGATGCATGAATGTTTGTTACTCTTTCGCGCAAAAACTACTGAACGACTGAGACTTTGCATGCATAAAGCTACCATGACGTAGGCATCCCCTAAGAAATGATTTTGATGGATAAATTAACGCGAGCGAAGCCGCGGGCAAAAGCTAGTTATAATATAAAAAGAGAAGAAGTGAAGAATGTTAATATATTTTTTTAATTAATTAATAATTAATGTATTTTACATTACACACAAATACCAAGTATTTCACACACGCATATATATATATATACTCTTTTGTTTGTTAAAGTGTGTACTCAAATTGAGAAACAGTATTTAAAAATACAATTAATAATATTGAAACTTATAATTTAAATTAAGTATAAATAAGGTATAATGTTACATATGAATGTGGATGGTTATAAGGGCAGAGGAAGGCCGAAAAAGAGATGGATGGACTGTGTGAAAGATGATATGGTAAGAAAGGGAGTAAATAACGCGATGACTGCGAACATGGATGAATGGAAGCGAAAGACATATTACGACGACCACAAATAAATGGGATAAGGAAGAAGCAGATGATGATGATGATGATAAATAAGGTATGACATAAGGTCGAAATTCGACCAATTTCGACCTTATGGCGAGCACTAGTATAGATAGATAGATACTTACGTGGATGGTAGACGCTTATCAATATCATGCCTCCTGGCCGCGTGGCGCCGGTACAGCGCTGTGATCACTCCACATATGCCGGTGCAGAGCAGGGCTGCCACCGCCAGCAAGCACACCAGCATCGGCGACAGCGGTATCGATGTGCTTGTACCTTAAGTACATTAATAATATCATTAGACATAGATAGATAGATATACTTTAATTGTAACATATAGTAAATATAACACATAAATAATCTCAATTAATTATTTAAATTATTAACTGGGTCTTAACACGAATATTTTATGGCAAATAAAGGTATTTACCTCTCAGACTAAAATCGACTAGGTTGTCTAGCCGTGGTCACGAGCTGACAGCCGCTCCATAATTTAACACGGGTTTAAAAATAATCTCCACTCGCCCCCTATCGTCCGGTGAAGCTAAAATCGTATCCGTCGGCCAAAAGCATTAGCGTAGTCCGAAAAAAAAATTATTAAAGAACACATGTAACATGCAGTTACAATATACATATATAAAGGAGGGTGAAAAGAATTATCTGGAAAGATAAAGTAAGAAATGAATATATATAAAAGTAAAAAAAAAATTAATAAAGATATTGAATCCTATATTGATATTTAATGTTATAAATACGACAGATAAATTTAACAAAATCTGTCTATCTGTGTGTCTGTCTCGCTGTCACGCCAAAAATACTGAACCGATTTAAAAGAAATTTGGTACATAGATTTATTTCTAAATACTAATAAATTGTACAATTAACACAGCGCCATCTAGTCGCTCGGTAAGAGCTTGTGTTATGAGTACTAGACAACTGATACAAATACTTAGATATTTTTTTTGTAAAAACACATAGAAAACATCCAGACCGATACAAACAATCAACTCATGAATGCAAATGTTTGTGCCGTGCGAGGAATCGAACTCGTGACCATCGGAAGTAAAGCACTAAACCGCTAACCACCGAGGCCGTCATACTATACTCATATCAGATAACACTAACCAAAACACTTAACAAAATTACGTAAAATGATAACGATGAATCATTCATCGGATTAATATTACCAATTAATAAAATTAATCATACAAAAGTTAGATATATTACATTTGATACTGATTATTTATCATAAATCATTTGATTAAAAACTGAAACAGATGTCTAAATATATATAACTCAAAGGTGACTGACTGACATAGTGATCTATTTTCGCACAGCCCAATCCACTGAACGGATCGGGCTGAAATTTGGCATGCAGGTAGATGTTATGACGTAGGCGTCCGCTAAGAAAGGATTTTGATTAATTCTATCCCCAAGGGGATAAAATAGGGGATGAAAGTTTGTATGAAACTTTGTCAATTTCAAACCGATCGGGCTGAGACTGCATGCAAAAAGCTACTATGATATAGGCATCCCCTTAGAGAGGATTTTGATGAATTCCACCCCTAAGAGGATAAATTAACGCGAGCGAAGCCGCGGGCAAAAGCTAGTATAATATAATATTAGTGAAATGAACAAACAAATTATACTGATAATTAATGTAATTACTAACTTAACATTTGTTTTTGTAGAAAAAACTTAAAATGCCATAACGCTGACAATATTATCTGATTGCACTAGAATCAGTGCGTAGCGGTTTCTATATTGATTATTATGTTGATTATGGCATGCCTCATATTTGTTATTGTGTGATTATGTATTTAAAAAAATGTTTATTTAAAAGTTTCTTGCTCATTCTTCTTGTGATAGATCTGCGTTCCGAATGAGTGGTAGAATAAAAAAATAGGACTATTCATAAGTGCTTGTATTCAATTTATTTGAATAAAGATTATTTCTATTTCTATATCTGTAAAATTTTTAAAGTATTCACAAGTATAATCTATCTAGGTAGTTTCTAAAACATTACTATTAGTGCCGGCCGCCGTTTTTACATATATTGTCGAGCTGAGTAACGTAATGTAATGTAATGTAGACTCCATTTTCCGCAATCAGCCTCTTATTTGGGCCGTTATGCGTGTAGAACCGAGACTACTAACGTAGCCAGCCAAGCTCCTTCCAGAAGTGCAGAAGACCTGGTGTTTTCACAGGCTTCACAGAGCGACCTCACCGTTCCGAGGAGTTTCGTTGTGGCCACTGCTGCCCACTCCATGATTACGTGAGCGGCCGTTTCTTCAGCTCAGTAACGACTTGTAAAATCAAAATAATTTGTTCATGCAGACATTTTATCCGTTTATGAACATCAAGTTTTTTTGTATTAATATTTTTTCCTACCGTCCATTTCAACATACAGATTCTATTGAGAAGAACTGACAAGAAATTCAACTCAATTTCTTTTTTATTAAGAGCCAGTTTATTTACATTGTACACTTATATAGGTGTCAAAGAATTAGTCTAGCTATTCAAAGAGGGAACGCTGCCAGTATCTTCGGTACTTTGCCTAAAGGGACCCCTTTTAATAATATATTTTAGTTATTATATTATATTTTTTAAGCTTTTTAATTTTAGGTTCTTAGTTGTATAATTAAGTTATGTAAATATTCTAAATATATAGGTGACTATGTCTAACATTAAATTTGACTGCCTCGGTTGTCTAGCGGTTTAGCACACCGTCTTAATTCTGATGGTGGCGGGTTCGATTCCTCGCACAGTACAAACATTTGTATTCATGAGTATGATTTTTTTGTATCGGTCTGGGTGTTTTCTATGTATAACAGGTATGTATTTTCGAAAAGATATATCTATATATTTGTATTAATTGTCTAGTACCCATAATACAAGCTTTAGGTAACTTAACTTGGGTCTAGATGACGCTTTGTGAATTGTCCTGAGAATATTATAAATGAAAATCCTGTCCATGAACAATCATTGTCATGCACTTTTGTCATATATTATTACTAATTTTTTATATACTTTTTATTACTTTCTGAATAAGTTGTACATAACAATTGAATATGAGAATATTTGTTTTAATATTAGTATAATAGTTTTTTAAAAGTCGAGTTTTAGATTTTAATTAGATTTTATTTTTCCTTTATAAGTTGTTTTGAGTTGGAATATAACATTGTTCTGTGACGGAATTAACATATTAGCGGCTCATATAATTTCATTCAATTAACAGTATATTGGTCAGATTAGATTTATTATCAAATTATAGCTATAAAAAACAAAATATTCATAACGTATGTATTATTTGATCAAACCTCGCGTGCGAATCAGTCATGAAAGTTCTTCTAGTTCTAGCCGTGTTTATAACTTGTTGGTATTTTTTATTTTAAAGTTTTTTTTATATATATTTGATGTACTAATAATTTTTTTTATTTGAATTTTAATGACTATGTATTATTATAAACATGTGCAAGATTTATTTGAAAAGAATACGAGTTGAGTTTCTTCTCAGTTCTTCTCATCTCGAAGTCATTCCGAACTGATGGTAGATTTGACATATCATAAGAGTCTGTAATAGACCTACATGAATAAAAATATTTTGTATTTTTTTTTTTTTACTTTTTTCTTATTAAAGTATGTATTATTATACATATTCTAATTACTTATTTATTTAAGTGTGTGCAAGCAGTGCCATCCCCCTGGTTCCTGGTGATAATAGCAACTACATAGAGGGTGAGAGCCGGTACATATGGATGCCGGATGAAGAGGGCGTGCCGCGTCTTGTAGACTTAAAAGAGGCTGCAGATCAAACTTTGTTAAATACTCGTCATGGTGCCAATAATCAGTACTGGCTTTTGACCAGGTTTGTTAATTTATATAATTCTTCATTCGCCCCGGCTTCACAAATTCAAATTCAAAATATCTTTATTCATATAGGTCTATTACAGACTCTTATATGTCAAATCTACCGTCAGTTCGGAATGATATCGAGACGAGAAGAACTGACAAGAAACTCAGCTCGTATTTTTTTCAAATAATAGTGGAACATGTTTATAATAATATACAGTTATTAAAATTCAAATTTGGGAGAATAGAGTGACCACCAGCATATGCTATCGCAAAGAACAAAAAATTTAATCAGTGTTCACAACCTGAACAGACCAGTCCCCACAAGCAGCACCCGTTCACGAGTATGACGTATGAGTCAGCCATCATTGTACTCAACCAAATTAGAGGGAGCATATCGACCCGGCCCACCACGCCGCCACAAGTTTGAACTTTATAGCGAGCATGACTGTTTCAGGTCACTCCACTACGTCAATTATATTATTTACAGCGTAGGCTCACATGGGTGAGACTATACGTGTAAACCTTCCTCTAGAACTTAAGTGGTCTCGGATAGTGGGGAGTCAGAGTAGCTTCCTCCCACGTACACTAAGAATGTGGAATGAACTACCTGCCGAGGTCTTCTCACTCTTCTTCCTTCTTAAAAAACAGCATGGGGGTTTTTTGTGATTGTGAAAACATATCACGTGTTCATGTTACGACTTCTCTTCCATTTATCTCTATTCGCAGTCACCGCGTCATTCACTCCCTTTCTTACAATATCATATTTCACACATAATATGTGTATATTACAATATTTTACACTATTATCGAATACTTTTATAGAATAGAAAATTCTTTATTCAAATAAACTTAATTTAGCACTTTTGAATAGTCATAGCAATTTTTTTAATCTACCTCTCATTCGGAAAGTACATTACAAGCTGAACGAGCAAGAAACTTGTGTGTTGCTCTTTTAAATAATCCTTGAAAGTTTACATTTTTTAAACGAAACGTGTGAATATAAACTGCCAACTAGCACTAATCACTACATAGTATAAAACGAAATCGTTGTCGCTGTCTGTTTATCCCTATGCTTAAATCTTTGAAACTATGCAACGGATTTGAAGCGGTTTATTTCAATAGATAGAGTGATTCTAGAGTAAGCTTTATATGTATAATACATGGCAGGCACATACCAGCGCCGTAACAGATAGCTGTTACGGCATATGCTGAGTGTCAGCCATGTTGCCAACCATATGTAGAAATAATATAAGATGAATTATTGTAATTGTTCTAAGTGAGTATGTATGTATATATGTATATGAGTGTGTGTGTGCATATGTGGTCTATCGGTCCGTCGTCTGCCGTGACCATAGAGACAACTTTATTTTTCATATTTTATTATTATTTCTTATGTATGTTAGTCTATAAGGTATTTATAATATGGGCCATGTAGCCTGAATTAAATAAATAAATAAAAAATAAATATGTGTGTGTAAAATGTACATTTGTCAAATATGTAAATGTAATAATGGTTGTCAATAAATGTTTTTCTTTCTTTCTTACATGTACACCAAGGCAAAACCGGGGCGATTAGGTAGTATACTAGATATTACTTTTATGTTAGCTAATTAATTAATATTCGTTGATTTGTTTCCAGGCAAAACGCTGGCATCTATCAAATATTGGAACATGGCGATAGCAACTCTATTTGGAATTCTAATTACGATGGTAGCAAACCGTTAGTAGTAGTTGTGCATGGATTCAATAGCAATGGATACTCTGTATTGACCATGGCGCGTGCTTTTTTTTCTGTTCACGATGTCAATGTGATCGTTGTGGACTGGCGTACAGTAGCTAATTCAAATTATGTAACTGCCGTAAGTGGCGTTGCAGAAGTAGGCCGATTTCTTGGTGATTTTCTCAACTGGCTCATTGAAATCACTGGAGGTGACTGGAATAACGTTCACTTAATCGGCGTCAGTTTGGGTGCTCATGTTGTGGGTAGTGCAGGAATGCAGGTTGGTGGAATATCAGCTCGTGTTACTGGTCAGTATTATATCATTTATATAGAGTTAATAAATATGACGACCTCGAAGGTTTAGCGGTTTTTCTTTGCGATAGCATATGCTGGTGGTCACTCTATTCTCCCAAATTTGAATTTTAATAACTGTATTAACATGTTCCACTATTATTTGAAAAAAATTAAATATCTGTATCTTCTCATCTCGATATCATTCCGATTAGATTTGACATATCATATCGTAATAGTACATGAATAAAGATATTTTGAATTTGTGAATTACTATATGGTGTCGATGCTCAGCATAAATAACAAATGATTTTTGTATCGGCTATGTTTACTATATGTATGTATATAAACAAATGTTTTCGTAGCAAGCTATTTTGGGTTTGATTTGCTTTATACATTCAATTCCTAATAACCAATTAATCAATAAATAAATAACCATGGACAATTAACACAGCGCTAGACCAATGGTAAGCAGTGCTTGTGTTATGGGTACTAGACAACTGATATACATACTTAGTTTTTTTTTGTAAATATATACATAATATACACAGAAAACACCCAGACCGATACAAAGAAATATACACATGAATACAAATACCGTGCGAGGAATCGAACCCGCAACCATCGGAAGCAAAACAACGTGCTAAACCAACCAACCACCAAGGCCGTCTGATTATATATTTATAACTGGTTTAATTATTTCCTGATTGGATTCGAATTACGTGTTTCATAGGTTTGGATGCAGCCGGTCCTTTATGGACTGGCAACACTAATGCTCTGAACTCAAGCGCAGCACAATATGTGGAAGTAATTCATACTGACGGTGGTCGTCTTGGTATATTCAATCCTATTGGAGACGCGGATTTCTACCCCAACGGAGGCAGGCATCCGCAACCCGGCTGCTTGACTACCATGTGCTCTCACATCCGTGCATACACACTCTTCGCATCCAGTGTTATTACGGATCATTTTCAAAGTAGTTTATGCACTGATGTTGAACAAGCCGAAAATGTACAGTGCAGCGGTCCAGTTTTCAACATGGGCAATGGAATCTTCGCTAAGAGAGGGTGAGATTTATTTTATTTTAATTTTAGGGGTAACAATGCCAGTATCTTCGGCCTTTAGGCTCTTATTTTAATAACATATTTTAGTTATTATATTATATTTTTTAAGGTTATATTATATTATATTAGTTATTATATTATAATATTATATTATATTTTATTATTATATATTTGTTATATTATTTTAATTTTTACGTATGAAAAGTATGCATGTAGGAATGCGCCGGTGTCGGAGAGGTTGAAGAGTAATCGTCTATCGTGGTATGGACATGTAATGCGTAGGAACGAGGATAATATTTTAAGAAAGGTGTTACATATGAATGTGGATGGTTATAAGGGCAGGGGAAGGCCGAAAAAGAGATAGATGGACTGTGTGAAAGATGATATGGTAAGAAAGGGAGTAAATAACGAGATGACTGCGAACAGGGATGAATGGAAGAGAAAAACATATTACGCCGACCACAAATAAATGGGATAAGGAAGAAGTAGATGATGATTATTTTAATTTTTACCAAATAAATATCTCTGGACAAAATCTGACTCAGTTAACTTTGAAAATTTGATTTTCAATATTTTTGGAAAACTATTTTCCAAAAAAATTGAAAATCAAATTAAGTGAAAATGTTAAGAAACTATTAATTTTATGTAGTTATTTTTTTTTAACCTATGGGATTAAAAATTAAGTGATAGAAAGTATTCAGTGAATATATGGATAAAACAATTTCAATGAAGCATTTTGTTAAATAAACAGAACAATCAATATTAATGTCCGAAACCTAATTATATTATTTTTCATTTTCATATTTTGGTCTGAATCCCATTGTCTGCATTAATGCGATATATATATTCGTAAACTAGAGATGTTTATCTAAACTTCCTACTTTTTTTTCTGTAGGCTGTAGGTATAGATTTCATACCAAGGTGCCCATGACATAATGACCCTTATATATAATCATTCACAAGTGACAAACGTACATGGCAGTAGTTCATGGTTATTTCATTTAATGTTAGACATACATACAACCTACATATATAAGCATGCAAAAAAATAAATTCAATTTAGTTTCTTAGCAGTCTTAATTTAATCTATATACTGAACTGAAAGGTAGGGCAAAATCATTAATACAAAAAACTCGACGTTCAGCAGCGGCTAAAATGTCCTACATGAATAAATGATTATAGATTTTTATTTTCAGAGCCGGCATTTATGGATTAACTACTGAAGATTCGTGGCCTTATTAATGGAATAAATTATCGACAAGTATATAATAAACTTTTAATTTCATCATCTTCACCTTTCATAGACAACACATTGCTATGACCGCAATATACAATGTGAATAATCAAATATTGTATAGTTAAATTCATAGAACTACGTGTATTCGATATATTCTGTTTGCCAATTTAGTAATGACTAGCTACCCACCCCGGCTTCGCATAGATGTACATGTATTATACATATAAACCTTCCTCTTGAATCACTGTATCTATAAAAAAAACCGCTTCAAAATCCGTTGCGTAGTTTTAAACATTTAAGCATACATAGAGACGGACAGACAGCGACGCCGACTTTGTTTTATACTATGTAATGATTAAACAACGATATCGTCCTCTCTTCTCTTCTGTTGGCTGATTGATTTGCTGTGATATTAACTACCTACTAACTACTAACTCTAAAATTATGTAATGCAATGCATAACTAAATAATGTTTAAAAAATATATACAAATAACTTTCATTAAAAGATAAATATAAATGATAAAAAAATTATACGAGCTCTCAAAACAACATTATCACATATTTAATTATATATTCTACAATTTTATAAATAAATAATAATAATAATAATCTCAGGACAATTCACACAGCGCCATCTAGACCCACGTTAAGCTAGCTAAAGCTTGTGTTATGGGTACTCGATAACTGATACATATACATAGATTTTTTTTGTAAATACATACATATTATACATAGAAAACACCCAGACCGATACAAACAATCATACTCATGAATACAAATTTTTGTGCCGTGCGAGGAATAGAATTCGCGACCATCTGTCGTAAAGCGGTGTGCTAGACCGCTAGACCACCGAGGTCGTCGAAATATTATATAGTTAAATTCATAGAACTATGTACATATATTCGATATATATTTTTTGTCAATTTTATAAATATGGATGGTCGAGCGCAGTGATAGCTGGTTCATCCGTCATACTCGTGAACGAGTGCCGCTTGTAGAGACTGGTCTGCTCTTATCACTACGACTGATTTAATCTTATCGTATTTTTATATTTGAGCCTAAATAAATTAGTGCTGGTTGGTAGTTTGTATTCACACGTTTCGACTTGTAAAATGTGAACTTACAATGATTGTTTAAAAGAGCAACACACAAGTTTCTTGCTTATTCTTCTTGTGATGAGAGCTTTTCGAATAAGCGGTAGATTTAAAAAAAAAATTGTTTATATTCAAAAGTGCTTAAATTAAGTTTATTTGAATAAATGATTTTCTATTCTATTCTATGAAACAACAATATATTCCTCTCTTCTCTTCTGCTTGCTGATTGATCTACTGTGAAATTAACTACCTACTAACTGTAAATATATGTAATGCAATGCAATAATATTAATATTACCTGTATATTTGTCTGGTGATCTCAACGCCACAGTGTATAAATTAACACTTTCGCTTCTACCTTTCGCGTTAGCAGCGTACAATATGACAGTGTAGCTGGATCTACTGTCCAAGCCTGGCACTTCGAAGAATGGTGTACTGTTCGAAGATATGTTTGCTCGAACCTATATAAAAAAAAAAATGCTCATTTAAGAATAACCCTGAAAATGAAAAATTTAAATATTATATATAAAATTCTCGTGTCACAGTTTTCGTTCCCATACTCCTCCGAAACGGCTTGACCGATTCTCATGAAATTTTGTGAGCGTATTGAGTAGGTCTGAGAATCGGCCAACATCTATTTTTCATCCCCATAAATGTTAGGGGTAGTCCACCCCTAATTTTTTTATTTTTATTTTAAGGTAAATCAACGTTTGCCGTGACAGGTAGTAAATATATATAAATTTAAGAACAAATAACAAATACGGCTGCACTCAAAGACTTTCCCTAATTTATCGCTAACGTAAATTTTGTTGCACTCATAAAACTCAAGTAGTGATAACTTCAATAGTGCACCGGGCAATGAACTTAGGATTCATGCTATCGTCTGCAATTCGATAAAGTGATAGAGTCTTGTAAGTAGTATAAATTATTCGGAAACATTATATATATAAATTTTGAGTATATAAATATTCCGAAAGTTTTATAATTATTTATAAAAAAATATTCAAATAAACTACTCTGCACATTGATATATACATATAAAGTAAAATAGCTATTTTTATTCTAAAAAAATATAGTCATCTTTTAAATATTTTTTAAAATTCAATATCTATAAATATTCATACAATTATTTGTGCTCAAACGACTTTATACAAAGTATATCCTATATATATATAAGTAGTACTGGGAAGAAAGGGGATTGTTAGTAATATGGCCTGAAGACTCCATTGCTAACAATGTACCATGTCAGGGTGACCTCCTCGTGGTACACCCTGGGAACCATCATGACAAATTCGTGGTGAATTTGTCATGATGGGCTAAATGACCTGACCTCATACTCATCATCCTCCACTGGTGCCCCGCCAGCGTAAACCGTTAGCGCAGGAGGGTGCACCATTCCATTATCATCAATAAAAAAAAACATCTACCACTTACTTTACCATTATAAATCTATGTAAGCATATCTTCACGCGTGATATCTACAAATGGGGTGGGTAGATGTACTTACTATTAGAGAGGGTAGTTCCAACACCTCCATATAAAACGTTTGCAGTAAACCACCGTCAAATCCCTCGACACATTCTACTTGTAAACCATTCGAGCTCTGATTTACGACGGAACAGTTCTGTAGAGGCGTCGGTCGACCTACAGAATGGAAAATGTAAGATTGGTAAGACAAAATATACTATTTTATATATATATATATTATACAGAAAAGAGAAAGTATATATATATATATATAATATAATACAAGAATTTCAGGATAATTCACACAGCGCCAGCTAGACCTAAGCTAAGCAGAGCTTATTATGGGTACTAGACAACTGATACAGATACATATATTTTTTTTGTAAATACATACATATTATACATAGAAAACACCCCGACCGATACAAACAAACAAACTCGTGAATACAAATGTTTGTGCCGTGCGAGGAATCGAACCCGCGACCATCGGACGTAAAGCGGTGTGCCAGACCGCTAGACCTCCGAGGTTGTCATTTATAAATACATTTAAATAATTTCAATCTTATTAATATTATAAATGCAAAAGTTTGTGAGTATGGATGGATGTTTTGTTACTCTTTCACGCAAAAACTTCTGAACGGATTTTGATGAAACTTTAGAGTAATATAGTAATAAATAAATACATACTAATGACACTCTTGGTTAGATGCACAGACGTACTGTATTATAAACTAGTTGTTACCCGTGACTTCATATACTTTTTTCAGATTTTTTTCTATTGGAATGGCAAATAAGATAAGCTTATGGTAAGTGGTAACTATCACTTATATACATGAACAGCACTACGGACATCATGTTATCATATGCCACCCGTGATACTCATGCGTTGATAACGTAGTTTCAGTGGACTATGATATCATGCTCCTTACTTTGTAATTTTACTGCCTTATCTCAACCAGCAAGCATAACATACAAAGTCAAACTGCTTTTCGGCTGAAATTGGTGAGGCGCTAAAACTTTACGCTGAGTTGGCTACCTTTTCACTTTTGCAGCACATAAAGCTACCTACATTTCTTATATTAATTCGTGTTGTTTCTGTATCTCATGTATGTTATGTGTCTGTAATTGTGAATAAAGAATTTATCTATCTATCTAAACGAGTGAGAGATTACGAGTACCCGCTAAGTTTTTACAAGGATAGAAAGAAATATATGAAATATCCTTCCTGTTGATATAGTTATACCTCATACCGAATGTCAACCGTAAAAATATTCTTATTTTTTTTCAAATTGTATATAAAGTTTATTCCATTTCATTATTTCAGTGAGGCAATTATTTTCTTTGTCTTTGCAAATAACATTCCATTATCAAACTTAAGCCGTGTTGACACGATACAATTCTGAACGTGGGTGGACAGTTGCTTACGCCAGTGCTATCCTTGATAAAATTCAAACGTTCTGACCAGTGTTCAATATATATTACTATTGTTATGGTACGCATCGATATTGTCGAAAAATCTGATATTTAAAAATATTAAAAGAAGGTAGTTTCATTATTACTCGGTATCGTTATACTAGTTGCGTATAACCCCCACTCATATCTCTGTAAGGGAGGGTTTTTGTATGCCACGGCACTGTCCCCTCCGATCGATCCCCGTCCGATTCAAACGGGGATCTATATTACGACGGCCTGAGACGAAGTTCGAACCCCTAGTGGTGCCCTCAGACTAAAGTCGTATCCGTCTGGCAGGAGTTGGCCTTCAGCCGCTCCATAAGTCCTTTCGTGGGTTTGGAGTGCCATCTGCACTTGCCTCCTAACGTCCGGTGAAGCTGTAAAGGCCAGCTGCGGCCAACAGCATTAGAGTAGTCCGAAATAAAAAAAAAGTCACGGCATTCCGTCTTTGAGCACAGGATGTGCTGGTTGTATTTTAAATGCTAAAGTGAATTGTGTTAGAGACATAGTTAAATTAATGTTATATAGTTGTTATTTTATTATAATACATACTTTCACTAGTACATAGAGTTGAAATATCTTACACTATACCCCGTGCGCTGTAGCATCGTGCGGTTGACAGTTACAGTTCGCTCTTGAAAGTTGCCGCGATTTACAAATTAACACTTAGTATTTCAGCTGTAGTAATTTAAATTTAACCCAGCCAAAATGTTCTAGTCTACAAATGAAGGCAACTGTCACATGCACCATGGTAGAGTGCACAAAGTATAGCTACCATAGCCACTTCGGTGTTTTTTTTTATAACATAGGGGACAAACGAGCATGCGGCTCACCTCCACCGCCCATGAGCATCCGCAATACCAGGGGAATTGCAAGTATGTTGTCGGGCTTTTAAAACGGAATAAGCTCTTTTCTTGAAGGTTTCAATATCGTATCAGTTCGGAAATACCATTGCTAGAAGGTGATTCCACAATATGGTTGCGTGGCAAAAAGTTTCTAGAAAACCGCACTGTGGAGGACCGCCATTCATCCAGATGATCAGGATGGTATTTCAGTTTCTGGCGGGTGGTACGGTGGTGAAACTCAGCAGCTGGTATTAATACGAACAATTCCTCAGAACACTCCCCGTGATATATGCGGTAAACAACGGTGTTCTAGGTTATATACAAAGAACAAACTATGTGTATTATATTTTATTTTACTTAATGCTAAAATATGCAGCCTACATGATGGTAAGTGGCAACGATCGGCCATATACGTCCTATATATATATATATATCTGATATACAAAATTCTCGTGTCACAATGTTAGTTACCATACTCCTCTGAAACGGCTTAACCGATTTTAATGAAATTTTATATGCATATTCAGCAGGCCTGAGAATCGGCTACTATCTATTTTACATACCCCTAAGAAATAAGGGTTGTGCACCCCTAACATTATTTCTTTATTTTTTGAGCATAAATATATACAACCTTAAATTTTCACCCTTCTAACACCAACCCCTATTTTTTTTATAGCGTTAGTAATTTATATAGCAAAACAACGTTTGCCGAAACAGCTAGTCATGCTATAATATTTAGAGCACGTCCCTACTACCGATCTATTCTAATATATAAGAAAATCCCAAAAAGCATAAAAAAAAAATAATTAATTTATTAAAAACAAAAAATTCTTAAAGAATTATTGACTGCAAAGACTTATTAAACTATAAAAAAAAAATTAGGAGGAATTAAGCAGACACTACAGCAAACTTAAATTCTAAATTTCATTTAGTTCATACTGTGGAATATAGGCCACTTATTTAGTCTATGACCTATTTTATAAGCTTTACATTTCGAATACCAAAATTCTATTCTAAATTGTCACTGCTTTGTACTGTTCCCTTTCGGTTTCTTTAGTTAGTATATATATAATATATATATATATATATATATATATATATATATATATATCCTACAATTCCCTGGTTTCCTTTATCACTTACAAACTGACAGACTTTCGGACCATTTTACAAACAATCGTAGTCACGAATACAAATGTGTCATGCCAAAAATTGGCTTCGTTAAAATTAAGGACTAAGAAGTTAATTAAAGACTTGTATATATTCACAGAGATTTGTCTGCTCATATTACATGTTCATATATATTAATACTAAGCCTGTGGGCTTAGTATTACATTTTTTCACACTGGGACATCTCAAATTAATAACCAAACGAGAAGCACTGAATCACTGGCAAGAAATGCCAGGATTAATACATTCAAAAGACCTTATATCGGGCTTCTCGACCAAATACTCCAATAGATTACTGCAATTGAGTAAAAACAACATATGCATGATGACTAGGGCCCTCACAGGACACTGCAAATTGAACAAGCATATGGCTAAGCTAGGCCTATGCACGACAAGTATCTGCAGATTCTGCCAAACTGAAGAGGAAACGCCGCTTCACATCCTATGTGGTTGTAGCCCACTCATGCATAAACGAAATATCTCCTTTGGAAAGTTTACACTCTTTCCCGAGGAGATAAAAACGATCGCTCCTAAGAATATCCTTCAATTCTTGTCCCTGACGGGTCTAGGTAGCGAACTCTGAAAAGGGCGAGCACAATAGATCTATGTAGGTCGCAGTGCTACAGGTGCTACACATCTGACAATAGCCCAAACAACCGAATAAAAAAAAAATAGTATTACATGAGCGTAATAGTAATATCGGCCGCACATGGAGTACTGCTCTCATCTTTGGGCAGGAGCACCTGGATACCAGCTCGGTCCTTTTGACTCGGTTCAGAGACGTGCTATGAATTGTCCATGTTCCCAATCTCTCAAACGGTATCGAACCACTTAGCTTGAGGCGAGACTTCGCATCGCTTTGTGTGTTCTACCGAATATACAACGGACTGTGTTCTGATGAATTGTTTGACATGATGCCTACGGCTACCTTTTACCATCGCACCGCTCGCCATCGACAGGGAATTCATCCCCACACGCTGGAACCTAAGTGGTCTCGGACAGTGCGGTTTCAGAGGAGTTTCCTCCCGCGTACACTTAGATTGTGGAATGAACTACCTGCCGAGGTTTTCTCGAGAGACTACAGCATGGGGTTTTTCAAGAAGGGTATATTAAGGTTTCTTAAGTCGGCAACGCATATATGACACCCCTGGTGTTTCAGGCGTCCATAGGCTACGGTAACCGTTGACCATCAGATGGCCCGTATGCTTGTTTGCCACCTAAGTGGTATAAAAAAAAATATAATTTATCTACCTGTCAACTCGTACGAGTACTTGTTCAAGTCTACTCAGATCGTGTCAACATAGCATTATATTCGATTCTCGGTATCTTTAATTTGTTTTTGCTAAATTGAATATCTTATTGTCATGTAGAGTCCAGTAACCCTAGTCTAGTCATTTTCTCAAATAAGTCGTCTTATTTTAAAGAAAAAGTTATTAAAACAATTTACAACTGATTTAAATAAATTTATAGTTTTGATTAAAAAAAAATTAATTAAATGTCTGTTACAGTCACCGAACTTTGTGATAGACAAAGCGACTAGAACGTTGTTTTAAAACTATATCACTAGATGGCATTATATCTATTATAAACACTAAGAGACTATAATAAGAAATTACGCATTTACTTCCAATTTCAAGATTTAAAAGGATTTGAAAAAAAAAAAATATAGGCTAATAATTTCGATTTTTAAAAATGTTTAGGTTTAAAAAATGTTAGTTTTAAATTTCTAAATGCCAAAAGCATTTAAAGAAGAATATGAGATTCAAATTTGGACATTTAAAAAGCATTTTAACTAAAATATAGGGTTCCAATTTCTAAATGTCAATAGCATTTAAAGAAGAATATGGGATTCAAATTTGAAAATTGAAAAAGCATTAAACAAAAATATAGGCTTCCAACTTTGAAATTTAAAAAGCAATTAAAAAAAATTTATAGGATTCCAATTTCAAAATTTTAATAGCAGCTAAACAACTAGTTATGATTCGAAGGAAGAATATAACATTCCAATTTCAAAATTTAAAAAGCATTTAAACATAGGCTTCTAATTTGGAAATTTCAAAACTATTTAAAGAAGAATATAGGATTCGAAATTCAAAATTTTAATAGCAACTAAACAACTAGTTATGATTCGAATTTCAAAATTATCTCAATATATAGAACTGCAAATGAGATCTTACCAGCAGCGACCAGCTTATAAAGGCACGGGACTCCTTGCTTCCCAACTACATTGGTGGCTGTACACAGTATAGTACCATAATCCATGTCGGTGGTCGGTCTGTAGTTCAGGGTCGATGTGTAACCCGACATGGTGTAGAGGCTGTAACAGAAAAGTATTTGAAAGTATAATCCAGTTGGAAACTGACTAACGTAATACAATATAAAAAAAATGAAACTAGGATCTCTCCAGTCGATAGTTAAACTCCAGTGTTATTATTTAGAAAATCTTTAACAATATAAAGACGGGGTAGTTCTTTCCCAACACTGCGTATCAACGGTTTTCTGTTCTTACCTAATAACAAATTCATCAAATAAAATTACATCAAAATCTATTAAAAGTATTAAAGTTAAGCCATTTCGGAAAAGTATCGCAACCAACACTGTGATATGGTAATTATATATAGAGATATACAAATATTCTGACGCCAGCTGGATTCGAACTCTGGACCCTTCAGTTCAGTCTGGTGTTGTAACTAACCACTACTAAACTTCAATACTCAATAGAAAAACTAACTTACTTGGGAGATATTTGTATCGTTTCTCCTGAACTGTTGAAGGTCCAACTGAAGATGGTAGGTGGTGGGCTCGAGTCCACATCGCACAGTAACTGGACAGTCTCCTGTTTCAAAGCCCCATAAACTTCGCCATCGTTGACAATTTTACACATGGGTGCATCTGGAAATTTAGTTATTTTTAAACTTTCCAGTTTAATATGTATATAAAACTGAAATAATGTATTATTTACTAGCTACTCGCCCCGGGTTCGCCCGGGTGTACATACATGTATTATATGGGTATGATTATTTGCATCGATCTGAGTGTTTTCTATGTATGTATATACGAAAAAAAATCTATGTATTTGTATCAGTTATCTAGTACCCATAACACAAGCTTTAGCTAGCTTAAGTTGGGCCTAGATGGCGCTTTGTGTATTGTCCTGAGAAATAAAAAAAATACACTGGAACGAGTCAGCCTGCGGCTCAGCTAAATCAAAACAGTGACAGTGATGTTACGGAGCTACGTAACCGTAACCGAAACTATCGGATATCCGATATAAAAAAAAAACATTCGTAACCGTAACCGAATCCGAAATAAAAGTTTCGGATAACATCGGATAGGGGCAGAGCCTAATTGAGACATGTTATGTAACCATTTTTTAGCTACTAGCTACTCGGGGTGTACATATGTTATATATATGAACCTTCTTCTAGAATCACTCTATATATTAAAAAAATGGCTTCAAAATCCGTTGCGTAGTTTTAAATATTTAAGCATACATAGGGATGGACAGACTGCAACAGCGACTTTTTTTTATAATATATAATGATTTGTATTTTACTTTTGAAATTCCTTAAAAAATTAATATCCGTAACCGAAATTATCCGAAACTAACGGACAATCCGAAATAATTTCATATCCGCAACCGTACCCGTATCCGGTATAATAATCATTGCTATATCCGAAACCTATCCGTATCCGCCATTTCATATCCATAACATCCCTGATATCCGAATAAAACAGAAACATTGAAAACAGAAAACACTGTTGATGAGGAAATGATCGTATTAAATGAACGAACTGGCAAGAAATGATTGAACGAACGGAAGAAATGAACGAACAAAGAGAATCGATCAACTTGCCAAGTAGCACCATGAAGAAAAAACTCTCCGATGACGAGAAGCGAAAAAAATGTATAAAATGTTTGGATTTGAAAGTTCAGCATTTGGTAATTGATGAGTTGGTTAGCCGACTTCAAAACAGTGGACTTAAAAATAAGGTCGTTGTTGGCGACAGACTTATTGTATTTATTTTCTTATTTCAATATTCAAAATTCTTTATTCAGGTAACACAATTTTACAATTACATTCTAATGTTGTTGCAGACTCCTTTTAGGCATAAAAATGTGTCCCAGGAGGCTCCACTCTTCCATAGCTTATATAAAAATGTTTCTAGTTTATTATACTATAATCTATTTATATCTATATATATATATAACTCAAAGGTGACTGACATAGTGATCTATCAACGCACAGCCCAAACCACTGGACGGATCAGGCTGAAATTTGGCATGCAGGTAGATGTTATGACGTAGGCATCCGCTAGGAAAGGATTTTTATTAATTCTACCCCCAAGGGAATAAAATAGGGGACGAAAGTTTATATGAAATTTTGTTAATTTTAAACCGATCGGGCTGAGACTTTGCATGCATAAAGCTACTATGACGTAGGCATCCCCTAAGAAAGGATTTTGATAATTTCCACCCCTATGAGGATAAATTAACGTTAGCGAAGCCGCGAGCAAAAGCTAGTTAGTTATATAATTAAATTTTAACATACATACATTATAGGAATATATATACATACATATATATATATTATTTTGAATCATATTTTTTATTTATAAAATTATACTTATTGTGTCTTGTATTCTATATTTGTGTTAAATGTACTTAAATATACAGCAAATGATTGGTGGTTATTTATTTTGTCTATAATTAGCTTGTCGCCCCGGCTTCGCACGGGTGTACATGTATATATATAAACCTTCCTCTTGAATCACTCTATCTATTAAAACCGCTTCAAAAGATTTAAGCATACATAGGGACGGACCGACAGCCACTTTGTTTTTTTTTCTCGACTGGCAACATTACCGATAACTGTCTTTGTCAGCTGGCCCTAATAATTAATTACTTTTATCTATTTTATTATTCAATTTTTTTAGTGTAATTGATATAATTAGTGAGTTTAAGCTATAAAAAGTATCGATTGTTGTTTGTGTTCATTTTTATATAGTATTTGTGTACAAAAATCGACACATAAATATTTCTTACCGGTCAACTGTCAAAGTTCGTAATAAACTTATATTTACATTAATCTTGTACATGTTATCGCGTAATTCAATTTAAATTATTATAACATTCCTTTATTATTACTTATTTTGTAATACATGTTAATTTTGTGGTAACTTTAAAAGTGAATTACAGTTGTGCGTCGAGGAAAAAAAAAATTACCCACTAACCAAATATTGTAAGTACTAACTGAAATATAATTAATTCTTACATTAAAATACACAACAAGTGAGTGAAACTTTCACTAATTTAAATAGTTATTTATATATATTTCAATAACAATACTGAATCTTCTAGAATTGGTTTCTAGAATTGGTGGAATTGTTTTTAATTCTATTATTTGAGCTTGTGTAGTACCCCAAGAAACCCATTCTTACAAGTAATAATATTTAGTATTGTTATTTATAATTAACAAATTTACTAAAATTACTTACATATTACATAGGTATTATATATTTATAAATAAATATATTGTAAGGAAATAGCACACATTCTAAATTCCATTAAGTTCCTTTATATTTAAATTAATTACTCAGCATATTTAATAATGATGTCCCGAAGAGCCTGTGATCTTGATGCTAAACTTAAGGTGGCACTCGTTGAATTAAAGAAAACCCAAGACTTGAATAAAGTGTTGTTACAGGAACAGGATGATAGTGAAATAGAGATGAAATCTCTATTTGACAAATATGTGGCCCTGAAGGGGGAACTTGTAGACATTAATGTGTTCTGTGAGGACCTACGCGTTGACAGGGATAGACTTCAGGAACTTGTTAATGAATATGATCACTGCAGGGACACATATGAGTCAAATTTACAGCGTATCACTCACCTCGAGAGACACCTTGAGGAAGCACAAGCACATAGTGAATCTATGTTGGAACACAAACGGGTGAGTAGCTACAATAACACCTTAGATCTGTATACAGAATTGTTAAATGTCACTTGTGATCAAAAATCTACTCAGCCGTTGGTGACCATAGATTTAACTAATACACCCAGCTCAAACAGTTGTATTAGTCAATTTAATAGTGTCAATAAATTAAAAAAATATATAAAAATAAACAAATTTATTAAAAAGTCAGAAAAGTTAGTGAGAACTCATACTAAATGTTTAAAATCTATAAATATTAGAAGACAAAAATTAGACCTGTTACAAGAACTTCAAAATTGTAAAACAAATTTACATGATAAGGATTTAGAACAAAATAAATTAAAGAGTAAAATTCAAGAGTTAGAATCTTCATTATCTAATTTAACAAAAAAATATGAGTGTGCTCAACTTGAAATTAATAATTATAGTAAATCGCTGGATAAATTAATTGAGTTGGGAAATTACAACATGGAGCGGTTCACCTCATTGACAGAGAAATGTTGTTGTGAGACACCTGAATCTCCTAAATCTTGTCAGTATAGCCCTAATGGAAATAACAATAAGTCAATCACATCGGTTTTGACTGAGTCAATCACTCCTTGTTCTAGTTTACTCAATTCTAACTTGTCTTTAAAAACTGATAATTGTAATGTTGCACCAGTACGAAGGACAATTATTTATTCAGATGAATATGGTAAGGGTCTGGGCCGTTCATTATCAGAAAGTCTATATCAACATGTCATAAATAATTGTCTTCCTGGTGCTTCATTGCCTAATATTTTAAATAAGGTGGTTAATGGTAGGTATGATAAGTTAACCACATTAGTCATTGCTTTAGGCAACTGTTTATATGTAAAAAAAAGTCATGTAATTAAACTTGTAAACTCTTTGCTTAATATTGCTGAGCTGGGCATAGGTAAAATAATATTATGTGCATTTCCTTACTGTCGTTCTCTGACCATTGAACAAAATAAGTTCATATATTATATTAATAATTTAATTTATAATATGACATGTCGTCATAATGACTTTTTATTTTTTGATAGTAACAAATTTGTTACAAACTTTTGTATGACTGGAGATAGATTTTATCTGCCTAAAAAACAAATAAGAAATATAGCAAGTTTACTAGCTTATAATATAAATGACCCCATTATAAGTAATATAATGGGTTGCATTAATCCAATTAGTAGTACTTGTACTAATGTTAATACTAAACTTACTGAAAATATTGACATAAATATTGATTCTAGTAAGAATCCTTTTATTTACAAAAATTTAAATATGACTGCAGATTTAAACTGCTGAAAAAGACAAAGGGAAAGCTATCAGAATTGAAAATTGTTCACCAGAACATACAAAGTTTTCTCGGCTGTGAATTAATTATTCAATTGTTCTTAGAAAAAAATAATATAGATGTTCTATGTTTAACTGAACATTGGCTCAAAGTGAGCAATATGATGTTCAGCTTAAACAATTATAATATTGTCAGCTGCTTTAATAGAAAAATAGTAAATAGAGGAGGTTCTATGATATTGGTGAAAAATAATATAAAAGTAAAAGAACGTAGTGATATTGGCAATCTTTCTGTTGAATGTTGTATTGAAATTTCCTGTGTGGAACTAGACAATTATATAGTTATATGTGTATATAGACCTCCAAATAGTGATTATAATTTATTTGAAGAGGTAATGGAGGATATTTTAAAAAGAGTATTTAATATTAACAAAAAAATTATAGTGTGTGGTGATTTCAATGTTGACATTTTATCACATAATACCACAAAAACTAAATTAATGAGTTTATTTCAATCTTTTGACTTGAGTAATGTCTTCCACGAACCCACTCGTATCACTGCCACGTCTGCTACTTGCTTGGATAACATATTTAGCAACAGTGAGTATTTAGATAAAATAATAATAAACAACCTTCCTTCTGATCACTGTGGTCAAA